ACCTAAGCTGCCTCAGAGACAATAAGACCTCTAGTGCACAGAGGTTATTTAGAACCCATTCAATCAAACGTGTAAACATCCCCATGGCTTCTTTCCAGTGTATCCGTAGCCAAGATTTGTAAGGCTGTCACTTAGAATTCAATTCATACATTTACTCAATGCTACTCTTTGTACTCTGGAGCCGCGTCATCCACTCATTTTGGCAGGATGAAAACATTTTTGAGGGAGTAAAAAAGCTTGCTTAACAGAATTTGCATTCCCTGATTACACTGCTTCTAGAACAGGGGTAGGCAACCTATGGCATGCGTGCCGAAGGTGGCACGCGAGCTGATTTTCAATGGTACTCTCATTGCCCGGGTCCTGGCCACCTGTCTGGGGGGCTCTGCGTTTTAATTTAATTTTAAATGAAGCTTCTTAAATACCTTAAACCTTTTTTAAACACCTTTTTATAAACCTTATTTACTTTACATACAACAATAGTTTAGTTATATATTATAGATTTATAGAAAGAGAACTTCTAAAAACGTTAAAATGTATTACTGGCACGCAAAACCTTAAATCAGAGTGAATAAATAAAGACTCGGCACAGCACTTCTGAAAGGTTGCCGACCCCTGTTCTAGAGATACAGAGTGCCCCGCTTCTGTGGAATGTCTGTAGCTAATGTAGATGAAGCAGTGAGGACACTCATAAAGGCAATTCTATAACAGTAGTTGGAACTGTGAGTCAGTATGTTTGAGTCCTACACTGAAACTGCTTTGAATGGTTCTGGGATCATGAAGCAGGACACCAACTCCGACAATGTGAATCTGCAAAGGTTTCTAATTGCTGAAAAGTTTAAGGTCATGAATCATGTAACTAGCATGGGAGCAAGTATCTAAATTTATAGATTGATAGGTTCCAAGGCCAGAAGAGACCACTATTTTCATATTGTCTGACCTCATGCATAACACAGGCCATAGCCCCCCTCCCCCCCAAATTTTTTTTCCTAGAGCCTATTTTCTATAAATACATCCAGTTTTGATTAACAAATTCAGTGATGGAGAGTACACTATGACCCTTGGTAAATTGTTCCAATGGTTAGTTACTCTTTCTGTTAAAAATTTACATCTTATTTCCAGTCTGAATTTGTCTAGTTTCAGCTTGCAGCAATTGGATCTTGTTATACCTTTCTCTGCTAGACTGAATAGCTCATTATTAAATATTTATTCCCCATGTGGATACTTAGAGACTGTAATCAAACCACCCCTTAACCTTCTCGTTGCTCAGCTAAATAAATTGAGCTCCTTGAGTCTGTCACTATAAGGCATGTTTTCCAATCCTTTAATTATTCTTGTGGCTCTTCTCTGAAGCCTCACCAATTTATCAACATCCTTCTTGAATTGTGGACACCAGAATTGGGCACAGTATTCCAGCAGCAGTCACACCAGTGTGCCTAAAAGAGGAATAGTACCTCTCTACTCCTACACAAGATTTCCCTGTTTATGCATCCAAGGATAACATTAACCCTTTTGGCCACAGTGTCACAATGGGAGCTTAAACTCAGCTGATAATCTACCACAGCCCCAAATCTTTTTGAGTCATTGCTTTCCAGGATAGAGTCCCCCATCCTGTAAATATGACCTGCATTCTTTGTTCCTAGATATGTACATTTACTTTTAGCATTATTAAAACACATACTATTTGCTTGTGCCCAGTTTACCAACCGATCCAGGTTGTTCTGTATCAAAGGCCTGCTCTCTTCATTATTTACTGCTCCCCCACTTTTTGTGTCATCTGCAAACTTTATCAATGATGATTTTGTTTTCTTTGAGGTCATTGATAAAAATGTTTAATACTGTAAGGCCAAGAAGAGCTGATCCTGTGGAACCCCACTAGAGAAACACCCCTCGATTCCATATTTACAATTACATTTTGAGACCTGTCAGTTAGCCCATTTTTAATCCATTTAATGTGTGCTATGTTAATCAAAATATCATGTGTTATCAAGTCAAATGCCTTACAGAGGTCTAAGTATATTACATCAATGATATTACTTGCCACTCTTACCACTGTTTCTATGGAAATATGCACGACTCTGCTGCTAACATGCCACAAGTGACTTAGAATAGGGAGGTTCACAACCGCCTAAAGAGAAAAATATTGTTGTCAGAAGTATCTAGAGGAATGAGGCAAAACCACATTATTTAAATATCCAATAAATCTGAATGCATCCAGAGTTCTCAACAGAGTGTCTGCTTCCCCTAGAATTGGCTACATGTGGTCCCACCCACCAGAAAAACACTTTATTTTAATGTCTATTGACTATGAATAATGCCAATTATTGTGGTTGCTTTATTAAGAGTTAAACTTGGGCCCATTGCATAGTGCTCTGCCACTTCCTCCTGCGGTAGTATATGTGACGTTACACCCTGTATTCTTTATAGAAATATTGTTATAATATGAATATGGTATAACTAAAATATGCTTTATGTAAGATAGGTTGTGTTGGGTATCACTGGAAAGGTTATGATTTACTGAATGTGTTTATCCAATTTGTATGCATGAATCATTTCTGTATCAGAAGTTAGGAATATTGTCTATGTAACAATTCAGGGTGGATTTGATTTAAATCATGATTTAAATCATTAGTCAGGAAGACTCGATTTAATCGTGGATTTCTACATAAAAGTGCATTCTTGTTAGTTGTTATAACCTTAATACATATTCTTCACAACTCGGAGATAGATGTAGGTTTCATTTTTAGAAGGTACACACTATACATTTTTAAAGTGATTTATTTTGAAAACTTTTCAGATTAGTTTTACAGCTATATCAGAAAATGAATGATTGTTTGGTAATTTCATTTACCAAAGCTAATTGAAGCAGATAGTTCACCTCCCAATGACTTCATAAATATCTCCAATTCAACAGGTTAATCATTAATATTTGGAGGATTTTCTTGCTATGCTGTTATTAGGAGGAGAACATCACCAGACAGACAGATATATTGTTTTATTTAACTAGAACAACAACGTTATGTATTCTGAATTTTTTTTCAACAGCAAACATATAATATTTTAACAAAACAAGCATATGAATTTTAGTTAAACATTCAAGTTTGTTTTTGTTAAAATTGTTTTTTAAAAAATCAACAACCGATTTTGCTGTTAGCAAGCATGTTATCTCTGGAGACACAAATCCACAGTTTGAGAACTGCCAAACTAATCATCTCTGATGGTATCTTCTAGACTGAGCACTGAGTCCCATTGGGTAGATAGAAAGATTAACCTAAATAATCGATACAGAAGCCCCTGGAACCTCACAAGATTGGGTCCCTAGTCCATGAACTATTGGAACTCATTTACAAAACTTTTCTTAAACATAACATGAATATATTGTCTCATACTATAGAATTAGAATTTATAATCCGTATTCCATGATGAGATATCTTTGAACTTCAATGTATCTTAATTAATACTATCTTTAGTTAGGTTTTTTCCTCAAAAATCTGATTTTAAATTAAAAATGATTTTTTTGATTTATTTTTTAACAAATCATTGATTTTTTTTCCACCCTATAACAATTACAACTATGTGTGTACTTGGGAAATGCCCACCACACATTAAGCAACCAGCCTTAATGGGCCATTAGGAAAAGACAATTAGTCTTCGAAGATGTGGATTTCCCATCTTCCCTGGAGTTCCTTCCTGTGGACATTGCAAATAAACCTTGTTTCCTGGTTGCTTTGATACTGCAGGGTCAGGGGATAAAGTCACCTGGTACAAAATACCACTTTGGATACTGCTGGTACTTTTCCACTGGAAACAAAGGCTTCCCCCCTTATGTACATTCTATTTAAGGCTGGGAAGGAAGGCATTCAGGACTCTCCTCCTTTGCCTGCCCAGGAAGGAAGACTGCTAAAAACACCTGAAGGGAAAGGCATGGTTGAGTCCAGGCTGAGACAGGGGTCCAGTCTGTAAAGAGAAATAACTGGAACTCTAAGCTACAGAAACTCTGCAACTTGCCTAAAACAACATTTAGGGTGAGAAATTACATTTTGTGACCTGTTTCTTGAGCGTATTAAGTTTAGTTTGCGTGTTTTGTTTTATTTGCTCAGTAATCTGCTTTGTTCTGTTTGCTATCCTTTATAATCACTTTAAAATTTACCTTTTGTAGTTAATAAACTTGTTTTTAGTTTATTACAAAACCCAGTTTGTGCGATTCAAAAAGCTGTGCATATCTATTTCCACATTGAGGGAGAGGGCCAATTTTTACGAGCTTGCACTGTGCAGCTCTTGCTATACAGTGCAAGACAATATTATTTTGGGTTTATACTCCAAAGGAGGTGTGCATGTGACTGCTGGCCATTCTTCTAGCTAAATCTTCCCACATGGAGCTGATTTCAGTCTGTCTGCAGCTTGGTGTGGCCTTACCTGTGTGTGTGCTGGAGAAGGCTTGAGAGCCTAGCACAGCAAAAACAAGGTGAGGAAACCCAGGCTGGTGGAAAGGGTGGGCTCAGTGAGACCCCAGCACATCAGGTGGTGCCCCAGGAGGGTAGTTCAACCCGTCACAGTATGCATGTGTGATGGTCCAGGCAGCCTAGTTTTCTCTCCTTATGTAAAACTGTCTTCTGGTAATCAGTTAGTGGAATTGCATCTCTCATAGTCGAGGCCTCTCAGTATCGAGCCTGCATGTCAGTGAAGCCAAAATTTGAGACCAAAAAAACTTGTAATTTGTAGTGGGCAAGCCACTCCAGGAGGTGAACACAAGAGCCCCTCCCCTGCCTGAGTCCTTACAGCTACAATGAATTAATTTCTGGTGGAAGTTGTTTTTTGTTGGCCAAACTGATAATTATTACTCTGAGTTCAGCTTATCTTTGAGGGACAGGGGAAGGACGGGTTGCACACCTCTGGCTAAGATGGTGGAAGCCAAACTGAGTTGATTTGTTGTTTAATTTCTGATTAGGTGGAGGCTTTTGAAGTCAGAACTTGTATCTCTAACTTTAACTCTTTTTTCACAGCTTATATCTAGTGATGCTGATGGAGCCATTCAAAGAGCTGGACGTTTCCGAGTGGAAAACGGATCATCTGATGAGGTAAGGAAAAGCCCCTGTTTATATCTATTGCCTTTTCCTATTCAAAGATCAATCAATTAAATAACAGCATTTTCAATTTCTGAAGTGTTGTATCAGAAGATTAGGGTTGGAAGAGACCTCAGGAGGTCATTAATTCAATATACAAGGTTGATATTGTGGAAGCAGGGAAAGAAAGAGAGTGTTTAAGTGCAGCCATTTAAGTGGGCATTGTCAGAGCACTTTCCTCTCAGAAGCGTTCATGGATATGTCTGGTTCCTCTCAGTCTTCCAACTCTAAAAATAGATATTTGATATAGTGAAGGATAACCTAGCTTTACACTGTAGCATATAAATTGGTGAACTTGAGGCAGAAAAGGGCCCCTTACCAATCATTTCACAATTAGCTGCATACATTACTGCGGGGAGGGTGGGAGTTTGCTGAAGCATCTGATGTAAACCTGTACCAGAGTCATATTGCAGGATTGGATGATTTAAGTGACTAATAATCTGATCCAGTATGGTTGTATGTGTGTAATGTAGAATCTTAGAAATTATGTTCTTGATATAAAATTCTTTCCCTACATTTTTGAGACGAGATATAGAATCCTGATCAAGGTATAATCCTACTTCCAGCTCTGCTACTTCTATCCCCAGACTTTCTCATGTGAGTCAGTATATTTAATTTAAAATGCATGTATTTTACATCAGCCTGGCTGGCCACGTGTGACACATCATGGGCAATCTAAATTCAAAAGTCAAGCTAGATCCTTCCTTCCTAGCAGGGGCTGGGAGTGGTGCAGAGACAGCCTCCATGTTGCTTTGCAGACTCCTTCCCTCTTTTCCTTAAAAATTTCAGGATCAGAGCGGATAGATTCTGGAGGGAATTGTGTCCAGGCCCTGCTTGTTCTGAAGAAAGGTGGCCTAATATGGGGATGTTAAAGGACGAGTTGAGGAAAGAAAGAAAACAAGGGTGTTTGAATCTTTCAGACCATTTGAACAGGTTCTGTTATAATCCCGTGACTTTACCCCAGCCCTGCCCTTCATGTTGGTCCCACGTGGACAACCATTCTCTTTATCAACCCCACCTGAGCCATCACAGTGCCATCACCCAACATTGCCTCAATACAGGATTTAAGTGCTGCAGAGGGCATTATATTAGCTATCTACACCTAGAGGAATATTGACCTCTATAATAATTTTCATTTTTGAAGTGATAGGGGCATTGGGATGATCTCAATAAATCAATTGCTTAGCATGCATTGCTGAAGAAAAACCTTTTGTGTGGTGGAAAGGGATGTTTTAAGGTATTGAGCACCAAGTAACATCCTAAAAATTACTAAAAAGTTGTAATCTTGGGAAACAAGAAACAATAATTGTTTCTCTTAATGCCATTTCTGGGATGTGACTCATTATTTTAGTTAAACGGGGTTCTTGCTATGCTTTAGGGACAGTATAACTAAAGATAAGCAAAATAATTGCAATTATTAACTAGGATTAGTTTATTACTAATGAAAGGGAGAAAATAAGATAAAACAAAAACAGAGCATAAGCAATAAATAATGCTTCAGTTACTTCAGTTGCAATCTCTTCTGTATTTCTGTCTATGGAGAGTTTTTAATGGAGATTACACTGTAAGAGTTGGGCCCTCTGTGGTGGGGACACTCTTCTCTACATAAGATCAAAGTACATTAGTTCCCAAATCAGTAGAGTCCTGCCTTAGTGTATCATTGAGCACTAAAACAGTTTGTAGATGGGACAAGGAATTTTGGGTTTAAGGGTTAGAGAATTGTATTTGGTTTACCGTGGTTAAACAATTTATATACGATCAAAGGTGAGTGATCTTAACTAAGTCTTATGAAACCAAAGAAATATTTAAATTCAGCTATTTAAAAGATGCCATTTAAGGAGTGGTCCCGAGACAGGCAAATTAAAGACTATTGAGAATCTTAAATTTAAATTACGGCCCACTATTTCTCTCCTTTTACCCAGATTAGCTTATGTCTCCTTTCCAGGAGTACATAGTTTAAACTTTACACAGTCTGGTGTTTAACAGGAGAAACTTGTTTGATACCTTAAATTAGAATAGCATTTTGGTATCCCATTTAAAAGTATTACAAGAAAAAATTAAATGCAGTGCTTCATCACATCAGTGCATGTCAAAGTATTGGGTAATGTGATTATGTTGTAGAAGCAGTGCTGGGCTGGAAGGTTGCCGCTTCTTGATGTGGTGGTGTGCAGCTTCTTTGTTCTTTGTAGTTGTAGTATTGCTGCTGTGTGCTTGGTTGTATAGATGAAATGAATAGGCTAACTGAGAGTGCAAGAGTTAACACAGTAGTCCAAGGGTATGCCTACACTGCAATGTAAGCCCAGGCTCAGACTCCGTTTTGAACCCAAATCCCCTTCATCTACACACAAGCTGTCTGACTCAGCTCCAGGTCCCAGGATTCTACAGGAATAGAGGATTTGAGCTTGGGCCCCACAGGGACTCGGGTCCAAACTCCATCATTTTGCAGTATGGATGCAGCTTGGGCCCAGGTCTGTCAGACTTGGGTCCTGAGAGTCTGCCACTGCTATCCCACAATCGCATGGGATGGTGTCCTTTCTATCCTAAGACTGGCCAGCTGACTCCCAGGAAACAGAAGTTACCCCTCTGATGCAAGTACAGCTGCTCGACATTTAATCTTTCCTTTTTATTCTGACTGCTGAGCTGCAAGCAAAGTGAACCTCTCTTGCGTTTGTAGTAGTTACTGACACAAAGAATTCCTTTGTCAATTGTGCTGCTAACTGGTCATAGGGGCACAGACAGATTTTGGTTAATCTCTGGTGCAAGGCAAGCAAACAGTTCAACTTTAGCAAGAGGTCCTGGCTTCAGCTATTGGGGTTTCTGAGGGAAGTCCAAAATACAGTTGCGGGACCTTCCTTTCGACAGATCGAAGCTGTTTGCAGAAAAGACTGATGAGTCTCTATATACCTTAAAAGACTCAAGGGCCACGTTGCGTTCTCTGCAAATTTACACGGCTGCACAGAAAAGAAAGTTCAGTAAGTCCCAGGTAGTGCAGAGATCTTGTCCTGCTCAGTTTCCTGCCAGAGATATTACAAACCCCAATGTAAGAGGCAACGGTTCCAGAAGAGGAGACCATCTACCTCTGAGGCATTGACCTCACCACTGACAACTTAGAAACATCAATTTTGATGGGGTGGTCGAAGTGCTTGTTACCATTCCCATTAATACCTACTGCAACCATTTGCTTGTCTCCCTTACTTCAGTGACCATCTTTTTCACTTCTGCAAAGATGATTTCAACAAGAAATTCCATCGACTTTATTTCACTCCTGCCATCCAACCCCACTTCCCTATCTGTCTTCAGGGACCCCTCTCATGAGCACCTTCTACGACAGGAAATAGGCTCTCTCCTGAATTAGGGTGCTATAGAACCAGTTCGTACACAACACAGAGAAAAGGGGTTTTATTCCAGATACTTCCTGGTTCCAAAAAAGAATGGCACTCGGAGACCCATTCTAGATCTAAGATTACTCAACAGATTTGTAAAGGTTCAGAAGTTTAGGGTGGTAACTCTTGTAGCAATAATTCCCTTACTGGACCAAGGGGATTGGTTCTCAACCCCTGATCTCCAGGACACTTACTTTTATATAGTGATTTACCTCTCCCATAGAAGGTTCCTCCACTTCGCTCTGGAGAAAGAGCATTTCCAAGAGAGTGTGCTCCCATTTGGTCTCTCCTCAGCACCAGTGTGTTCTCAAAAGTTCTCTCAGTGGTGGCTGCTCAAGGGATTCTCCTACAACTAATCCTTGTTGGCCACTCAAAGGACCATAGATCTATTTTTCAGACTGGGACTGTAGTTAAACATCCAAAAGTCTACCCTAACAGCCATACAAAGTTTGGATGTCATAGAAGCTTACTTGGATGCAATAGTGGCCAAAGCATTCCTCCCTCTGCACAGGTTCATAGTCCTATCCAACTTAGTCACTAGAGTCCAGATCAGACCACAAACATTGGCCAGAAACTGTCTAGAGCTGTTGGGGCATATGGCAGTTGGTGTTTTTGTGATAAGCCACGTGAGACTTCACATGCTCGACCTCCAGGGGTGGCTCAGAACTGTTTATTTGCTGAACAAACACAGTTGGAACAAACTACTCTCCGTGCCTTTCATTGTGGAAAAAATCCTTCGACTGGTTGGAAGGACCTTCAAAATGTTTGCACAGGGGTCCCTTTTGCTCAACCATTTTCAACGCTAATAATAACAACAGATGCCTCCTTATTGGGATGGGGAGCCCGTCTAGACACTCACACTGCTCAAGGCAGGTGGTCATCTCTTGAATCTATCCTGCACATCAGCTTACTGGAACTCAGAGCAGTCAGAAATGCCTGTCTCCATTTCCTTCCACTGATCAGGGACAAATATATGAAGATCATGGCAGACAACATGTCATACATGTTCTTGCATCCCCTTGACAGTTGATATAGATTACCTTCCCTCTGTGCCAAAGCAGTGAGGCTCTTGAATTGGTGATTTGAAATCAGATCAACATCTCAGCAGCTTACACCTCAGCAGAGGTGTGCAAAAATTCACAGCAGATACCCTCAGCAGGCATTTCTCACAAGATCATGAATGGGAGTTAGATCCCACTCCACTACATATTTTGAGGCTCGGGTATCCTGCAGATAGATCTAGTTGGCACGGTAAAGAGCAAGAAGTGCTCCAGTTCTGCTTGAGAGGAGGACTAGGTTGGCGCTCCTTGGGAGATGTCTTCTTCCTTCACTGGACTCCTGTATACATTCCCCCAGCTCCCTTGATATCCAAAGTATTGATCAAAGTAAGTAAAGACAAGGCCAGCCGTAGTTCCGACATGGCCGAGACAAACATAGTTCCTCTACCTCACCAAGCTTGCTATGGGTTGACCAATCACTCTCCGAACCATCCCCATCTTCTCTCTCTGGATGCCGGTCAAAGGCTTTACTCCAGCCTTGAGGTTCTTTGACTCAAGGCATGGCTAATTGGTT